CTGTTTCTTTGCCAGTACCATGCTGTTTTTATCACAGTAGCTTTGTAGTAGAGCTGCAGGTTGGGGACTGTGATACCCTCTTCCCATGTCTCTGTTACCTAAAATTGCTTTTGCTATTCTGGGTCTTTTCTTGTTCCAAACGAATTTTTGGATTGTTTTCTCAAGGTCCGTTCAAGTATGCTGCTGGGATCTCAACTGGAATTGCATTGAATCTATATAGCAGTTTAGGAAGTACGGCCATTTTCACTATATTAATCCTTCCTACTCAGGAACAGGGGATGTCTGTCCATTTTCTGATATCATCTTCAATCTCTCCTTTTCAGAGTGCTATAGTTTTCAGAGAAGAGGTCTTTTATTTCTTTCGTTAGGATGATTCCTAGGTATTTCAGTTTTTTGGATGCCATTGTGAAAGGAATTATTTGCCCTATTTCTCTCTCAGTGAGTCTGTCAGTCATGCAGAGGAAAGCTACTGATTTTTGTGTGTTTATCTTGTAACCAGCTACTTGACTGAATTTGGTTATTAAGTCTCCTTTTGGATTTCTGTGATGTTTCTTATAATTCTGCATGTAAACTGGCTGTTTTCTAATATTTTTCAAACACTCCCTGTATCAATAAGATTCTGAGGCCAGTAAGGATTTCCAAAATAAGGTATGAAGTTTGGTATATATCCATTATTCAGAGGGCTTCTCTGGGTTTCCAAGGCTTGTGCTTCCCTTGGGAGTCTCTGTATTGGCCTCTGGCATGGCACTGGATTCTGCAGCTTCTGGTTGTAAACTGTCTTCATCAAGAACAATATCCTCAGGATTTGGTGGGGCTGGACAGAAATCTTCATTGGGGAAGATTTGCTGGAAAAGTTTTTCAGCCTGGCAAGGGATGAAAGGACAAAATCATTTGTGGGTATCGGCTTAAAATGTATGTGCTTTTCAGGCACTATCTAAAAAAAATTAAGTGTCACCTTTAAAAATGTATTTAACCTGGTTAAAATATTTGACCATTACATATGACTTTCTAAAAATCAGCTTTTACAATTCTCTCTTCTCCTTCTAATTTTATATATTTATTTAGGCCCACACGTCAAATATGTCTTTGATCAGGCTCATTAAGAAGTATTCATATTGTTGAGAATTTAAGCACCTGAGTCTTTCTTGATATTCTTTATATAATTTCCCATAGCTTCTACTTTTGGTATATATACATTCTAATTTAGTATATAATTTTAAAAAATCATTGCTCAAATCAAGAAAATTCTTTACTCTTTGCTCAACTATTTGCTTTTCTGAGATAATTTCCCTCCCACCAGCCTTTAAAAAGTATAGCACAATGTTTAAGCTCATAAAATTTGAACAGATGGTTGCAGTACAAACCCTTGACACTGAATAGATGGCCTCTGACACTTACTAGCTATGCAATTTACGTAATGCTTAGTCAGCTTTTGAATTTTGGCTTCATTCATAAAGTGGAAGAGTCTTAATGTAGAGGTGTATAATAGTTATGACAATAACAAATAAAAATGTCAAAATTAAGCTGAGCTTAATGTGGCAGGGTAAAAGAATAAAAAATAAGTGTGATCTTACTAAAAAATAGACAGTAAATGTGGTAAGTGACTTCACTGTCAGATAAGGATCCCTGCCATGTTAGGAAGTTACACTCTATCTCACTGGTGAAAGGGAGTCATAAAAGGGCCTTAAAATATATACTTGTTTGTTATAAGAATCATGTTTTTCTACGAATGGGTGCTACCAAGAAATCAACCAATAACAAATGCTGCCGGGGCTATGGGGAGAAAGGAACCCTTCTTCACTGTTGGGAGTGCAGACTGGTGCAACCACTGTAGAAATCGGTATGGAGATTCCTCAAAGAACTAGGATTAGAGGTTCCATTTGACCCAGCTATTCCCCTGCTGGGTATCTTCTCAAAAGAATCAAAAGCATCATACCACAGAGATACATGGGCACCCATGTTTCTAGTAGCCTAGTTTGTAATAGCTAAAACTTGGAGAAGCCCAAATGCCCAGTGGATAAAAAAGATGTGGGTTTTTTTTTTAATTTTTAAATAAAATGGAGTACTACTGAGCCATAAAGAATGATAAACTAGAGACATTTATAGCTAATGGATGGACCTTGAGACCATGCTCTTAAGAGAAATAAATAGAACACATGTGTAAATGCTGAATTGGTTCTCTGGTGTGAGAAAGTGAAAGTGTAAATGAGGACCAAAATGTATAACTGATATTGTGAAATAGGAAGAAAAGGTTCAAAGGGGAAGGAGAGCTAGGGAGGGCAGTGGGGAAAAGGAAAAAAGGGAAAGAAAATAATGAGAAAATAAGGAAAAAATGGAAACAAAGCTTCTGTAAATAGGGAGGGGTGGAGGTGTGCAAGGGAGGGAAGGGGAATGGGAAAAAACAAGAACCAAGATATATCATGTACAGGTACAAATTCCCAATGATGAATGTGATCATAATATATACCTAAAATGTACCAATAAACTTAATGAATAACAAAAATGAATAATGTTTTTCAATACCATTTCATCCTTTTTCCTGAAGTATACACATGGTCAGCAATTAGGGCAAAAGAGGTGAAAAACTATGGTCCACAGGTCAAATATAGACTGCTGCTTGATTTGTAAATAAAGTTTTATTGGAACACAATCATTTAACTCTTGTCTATATGGCTGCTTTTACAGTATAATGGTAGAGTTGAGTAGTGACAACAGAGACTTTATTGGCTGTAAAACCGACTCCTATATTAGGTGATTAAATTTCCTATTTTTTGAAAGTAGGTGGAGGGATAATAAAGAGATACTTTTGAACTCTGACATGGATTTGAAAGAAGGGCCACACAGAGGAAAACACTAGTTTCTTTCCCACTGTTGTATGCTTTAAGGGTTGGTTTATGCACTTGAGATTATATTAACGTTTATACTATAAACCCTTATTTAAAAGGCCTTCCACTTTGGTTCAAAAACATTAAAGTTTATTTGGGGATAAAAACAAATTGCATTACCTGTAAAAAAAAACATTTTAATTTCTGCTTGAAAAAAAATTGGATCATTAAAATTAAAATGACTTGATCAGTTAGGCCATAAAAGAAGATCTTGAGCTAGTAACAGAATGACTGATGGATGATAGATATGATTTCCTGCCCTTATTTGATAGCATTGGTTGAATATGATTTTCAAGGATCAACATTAGACTATGAAGAAGAGAATCAAAGGATTTTGAGAAAAAGCTATAGACATCTGAATCATGGCCACTGTCTATAACCCTGGTTCCATAACTAAAAAATAGATTAAAGGCTCAATGAGGTAATTTTCTACAAAAAGTTCCCTATAATGAATAGGAATGAAATCTGATCCTTGCCATCAGTCCTAGAACATCAGACCACCACCATTTACTGATTTAATACACACATCTGCCAACTCTGACAAAAGTTTAGACTTGTATCTCAAAAAAGAGTTTTTTACTTGTCAAGGGCAGAGATGTGAATTTGTATATGCATATGGGTATTCTGTTTGATAGAAATAGCTTGTATTAGCCTGCACCTTTTCAGAAATCTTCCCAGGAACACTCACAAACTTCAACTTGGATTTACCATACTCTTTAGCAGCTATAGTAATAGCTCTTGGGACACTGTGGGTTTATGACAAAACATTAATGGAATCATATTAATTGTGAAAAATTAAGTTATATATTCTTTTCTAAGATTAAAAATACATTAAGACTACTGTAAAATTACATTTTGTATGCACTTTTCTAGTTACACCCTTATTGAAATGACTAAGGTTAGCAGGGAAAGAAAAAGTTTGTGTATTTCAAAATAATCCTTACAGGCCAGCTGCTTAAACTGGAACTAACATTTCTTTAGAATGCTGGCATTATAAATTCATTTTTATGGAAAGTATTTCTTCATTTTTATGAGAAACATCTTCCATCTTTATTCCCACAATGGAACTCATAAACAATCTCTTATTATATTTAAGGATGTGAAGGTATCAGATAAAGTATATTCAAAGTAGCCTTCTAGTTTACAGACAAAACATTTATGGGTAAATTGTAGAGATGGTATTGCATGAGAGAGATGTTTTTCTAGTCTCCTTTCTCTCCTCTCAGAAGAAAAACAACAATTCACTTTCCCTACTAAACCAACTTTTTAATACAAAACCAAGACATACTAACAGCCTTACCTGTTTGACTGCATTATCATTTCCTAAACCACAGTCTGGGCCAGAGCAGACATAAATATTGGGTGGTAAATCATTGTAACAGTCCCTGCTGACTTCTGAAGAATCTCTCATATTGAAGTAGAGAGCCCATAGAATTCTTGGCTTCTCAATGTCTTCATTTTCTAAATGTGAAAATACACTTTAAGCTTATCGGTTACTATACTGTGTAGCCAATTACCAACAAACCCATGAGTAGTCAAAGTAGTAAATCAGAGATTTGTATATAAACAACTGCTAAATGTGCATCCACAAAATTTATATATATTTGAAGCAATGATGGCTTTTGAACCTAAGACAAGTTAGATTTTAAAAATTATTCTGATTAGTAAGTTAATTTGATTTACCTCCAATTATGCTCCCTTGGATTTCTATTACATCTCATTAGCATCAAAGTGCTTACAATCATCACATTCATCCTTAAATTATATCTATGAAGAGATAATATAAATTGATTTTGTGTTTCAAATGGACAAACCAGCTAGATAAGTTACATCGTAAGTTAATAATATGTATATATGAGATATCCAAAATAACAAAATTTAAAGAAATAAGAATTAAAAGTTATCTAGGGATGGGAGGAGCTGGAGGTAAATGGAGGGTGACTGCTGATGGATATGAAGTTTCTTGTGGAAGTCACAGAAATGTTCTAAAATTGACTGTGATGATGTCTGGATAATTCTTTCAATGTATCTTTAAAAATTGAATTTTACACTTTAAATGGGCAAATCATATGGCACAGAAATGATATGTCAATAAAGTTACTATTAAAATAGCATATGAAGGATAAAAACTTTGACATTCTAACTTACATTCTAATGTTTTGTTATATTCAATCACAGAATTAATGACAACCAACAAATAACAAAAATGAGGTCATATTTCTTTTTTCTTATTTTCCAAAACTGGGGATTGAACTCAGGACCTTGTATTTGCCAGGCAGTGAATGGGATAAAATAAAATTTATTTTAAAAATGAGGTCATGAGAGTGCATGTCATTTTGAGTACATTCTTTCATTTAACAGTGAGTATGTTATCCTATTAGTCATTGACATAAAAGCTGGGGATACATACAAAAATGAGGCAGACTTAGTTCTTACTTGTCTCTTTTTTTTTTTTGGTCCCCTAATCAGGAACTAGCACACATCAGATGCTCAATAAATAATTTTTGAATTGATTTTAAATGTTTTCAAGTATGTGCTTATACAAAGGTCCAAACATTTTTCTGTATCTCTTTTTAAACTGTTTTAAATTTTCTTTAGTTGAAGACAGAAAATATTCTGTTAATATGTTTATTGACTGTAGTTTTTCTAGTCTGAGTCCGAACAAAACACAAATTCTGTACAATATTAATAGTGGATGTTTATGAAGATTACCCAAGTCTATGAGGCACTTTGTGAATCATAAAGAAAATGTTAAAGGAATAATTATCTAGCCAATGACTGTTATTGTTAAATTGGTAATAAATGCAGAGAAATTTGCAAATAATTATAGTACTCACTTTATAAGCATGTTCTTTTCCCCAATTTGGGACAAATCAGATTTTATTATATTTAATCTAAAATATCTTCACTGCAAGAATACTAAATATACTATTTTTCTAGTTCATTCTGAATAATTCATAATTGTTAATGCAACAGGATGAAGAAACTGTGTGAAAGAAGTGATCTCTGAAGGTGCCTCTTTCTAATGTTAAGATCTGAGGCTAAGGTATCATTAACTTCATATGCTGGAACACATTACATGTCAAAACCTATTTATTGATGAAATAAAAAAACATAAGAAACTGATACTTCACAGCTAAAACCATACTAGTTCCAGTAAATTGATGAATTTAGTTTCAATAAATTATATGAGAAGGTACTTACACACACCACCTATAATTTGTGACACCTGACTTAGGGAGCCTTGCGGTGAAGGTACGAAATGTCTTATTTATCGCCCAACCCATTTCTAAAAATATGCTAGGGGAGCTTATCTTGTACTTCATGAAAGTTTCATATTGAAGAAGGGTTTTCATTCAATAAAATTTGAGGGAAATAAATAATCTAATAGATTATAGGAAAGAAATTTCATGGAGGTAAAGGCTTTGAAAAGAAACCAGGTGAAAGGTGAAAAGTTTGACATAGGCTGAAGATAAATGTTCTAGATATAAAATATCAAGTTTGGGCATTAAAAAAACCCTTCAAAGAGATATACAATTGTTTTATATGTCTTTGAGGTCAGCTGGAAGGGACACAGACAAGTGGAAAAATACCATGCTCTTGTGAACTATACAACTGTCAAAAAATGTTAAAGTTGAGCTTTGGTTAGGAGTGCATCACAAATTGCCAGTAGAAATGGTTTTCTGCATTAGCTCATTTCTTTATTTTACATAGTGTGAAGGACTAAAGAAGTAATAAGCAATTTAGAATAAGATCTTTGGCAAATTAAATTTGATTAAGTACTGAATAAAGCAGGCAGAAAACAAGCAACCATGGCAAATCAAATTTTATCTACAGCTGCATTCCATGTCTAAGGAGAGAGTAAACTACAGTGGAATCCTCAAGTTACGACAGGCCTGACATAGGAACAACTTGGATTAATTAGGTTAATAGAAGGTTCATCTGTCTCATTATCTATAGCATGTAACTAGGTAAACATCCAGATCTCAGCTGTATTGACTTAGTTACAACCAGCCCTTGGGAACTGATTGAGTTCATAAGTCAAGGGTCTTTAGTTAAGTTGCCTGTTGTGCTCTAGGGCTTGGTGCTTGGCCTGCATTTGCCTTTCATTGTGTATCCATTTCCCTACCAATGTATGCTACTAAATGAAGGTTTCTATGTAAGCACATGATGATGATTTTACCTGTCAACATCAGCACTGTATTACTAACATGCAAATTACTGGCTTATTTTCACAAATTAAAGTTAACCAGCCACAAATATTAAAATAAAAAAAGATAAGACTTTGCTTTCACAGCCCCACAAAAACTCAACACTCTTACCAGCCCCCAACTTCAAACTACTCCATGAGAGAAATTTGTTTTTTAGGAAATTGCGCTCTTTGAGATAGAACGATATAACTGCACAAGCCATGCACAGTGGTGGGAAAAAATGAAAGAAGATGGTGTAGTGATGACACAACATTTAAGACATTTGAAGATGTAGTACTAATAAAATTCCTGCTTCAATTTGTATTGAAAAATTTATGGCAAAATAAGAAACCACTTAGGATAGTTCTTCCAGTGAGACTGGCACACCCAATACTTTATAAATCTCTTTGAGATGCTTTGAAAGGTACTCTACAGTCTGGAAGAATTACTACACATAAGAGCAGTGAGCAATTGCTTCAATTTCTCACCCGCAGAATCACATTCATTAAACATAAAACATCTGGTATTTCCTTGGAGTAAGAAGTAAGGAGAATTTAGAGATCTCTGAAGTCCTTAAAGGAGGCTGGCAGGTAGGGCTCTTAGATGTTATTAGTATGAGTGCTTCTTTAGCCACAGCACCTCTCAAGAGCTCTGGCTCATGCAAGTGAATATATAAGAATGAAAGGGAATACCTTCAGAACTTGACTGGAATTTCTCATACACACTGTCTAAAAAGTACTATAGTTGAAAAGAAAATATCATCTTTTCCAAGAAACGACCTTTGTTGCAAGGTGACTAGGCTTTTACAAAGGTTTAAGATGCACAGCATCACATGGAATGCAGAACTCAAAAAGAAAGTAAGGCTATTCCTTTGGTACATGTTTTAACAAAATATTCACAATGCTCTTAAGTGTACAGTTTTGCATTACTGTCAAATAATAAAAATAAAATAAAGGCCATCAATCTGTGAAAAATACAGGTTTTTGCTACAGAGAAGAGTGTGCCTTAATGTATTGAAAGTTCATATTGCTCATAGAATTTCTTCTTCTTCATTTAGGCAGGAAAATGAATTTAGTTCTTTTTTCCAGGTGACTTTGCTTCTTTGACCTGCCATGGCCCAGTGCTCACTTTATCTGGTGATTCATTTTGAATAACTTCAACAGTATTTGTTCTGACATTTTAATTAAAATATGATCACTATCTCATCCTGATGATAAAAAGGCCTATGTGTCAGTGAACACTAGCTTTTCAGTGCCTCAGTGCACCCAAGGACCCCTCTGAGAGCATAGTTATTACTAAAGAATTTTGCTTAGGTTCTAAAAATACATCATTTCAAAATGAGATTATTTTAACCATTAATATTAATGTTTAAAATTCTAAAGTGTCTGGAGGATGTTAAGCAATGAGCATATAATGGCCCCCAGTTTGATTTTATGAAACAAAATTAAATGCATTTAAGAAATGAAGGGTAATGATATAAGATCCAAATTTAGTGTATTATTTGAGACAATTACACAATGAAATTATAATAGAAACATTATGAAGTTTTCATAAATGACAAGAAATTTAGGATTTTTATAGGCAAGACACAGATATAATTAAAGCCACAAGGTAAAATGATTAGTTCACATTAGGTTTAGGAACATTATCATGTACTATAACTTTTCACCAAAATTTTAAAAACAATTTAAACATTTTATGATATTTTCAAATGAAGACAACTTAAATCATAAATTAAATTCTAAAGTGAAACAAGTTTTAAGATTGAAAGACTTTATTTGGGGAGCACACAAAGAAATTAATTCTATTGATATTAGTTCACAAAAGTGGAAAAGTTTGTATTTTTATGTAAATATAAATACTCCTCTCTGTACCATCTCATTAAGAAAACAAACAGACACAAGAGATAAGTCAAAAGGAAACACAACAGGTAGGAGTAAACATGGTTGTCTGAACAAATGTAATATTCAAAGAAAATAAAGATGTATGAATTAATGGGAGAAAGTAGAGCAAGATTCAAGTGAATATGCAAATGCTATCAAATCATCTTCAGTTCACATAAATGAAGATTCATCAGGCTATTTGATCACTTAAACATAAAATATGCCACATTTTCTCCATTCATGGCTATAAGAGAGACCATATTATGTGGAGAAAAGCTTAAAAGTTTATGTCAGAAAAGCACTTTTTCACCATGAATAAGAACATGTATAGTTTTGAGAGCTAGACAGTTACATCACCAGCATGCTATGGATTAAATACAATAGGAAGGATTACTACATTTGGAAATTAATATTTTAACCTTCTATCAGTTCAATAAACTTGTTTTTATTAAAGGAGGGTAACTTTTCTGATAAAGGAATATATGTTCTTTTGTAAAAAATATGTAAAATAAAGAAAATTACAAGGAAATTTGTCCATAATCCTACTAAAATGAAGAGAAATTTTCTGACAGTCTTTTTTTCATTCACATGAACATGTATGCATATAGCTATTTGGCATTTAATTTTATATATTTTTGTGTATATGTGTGATATGTATTTTTTCTTTAACATAAAGATTGAAGATTTTCCCTATGGATCGGTAGATACTGTGCTCAACCATCTTAGTAAAACATATGAGAGTGTTAAATACATTATATTTTCATTCAGAATGCAGAAGCCTTCATGGGACATTTAAAAAGAGTATGACAGTTACATCACCTTTTCATCATAAATCACTGTTTTTCTTACCTATCTCCATTTCGGTATATGGAATAAACAATTTCTGCACAACTGGTTCTAAATCTTCTTTTGCTGTTTTAAAAGATGTGCAAGTCAAATGAACTAAATCTGTAAAGATAAAACAAAAAAAAATTTTTGACTTTCTCCTTGTCACAACTGTTTCACTCATACTGAAGATATATATTTAGCTAAAATATGTATTAAATAAGAGCTGAAAGAACTCATACTAAGACCTAGTTGAGGTTAATTTTGTAAAGCTAAGAGCAGAAAAGCTTAGGAAAATCATGTATTCACAGAAAAGAGTCTATATTATCCTTGGGAAATTCCTAAGGATAAATAAAGTAACAAAATTACTGCATAAAAAAGACCCCAAATGGAGTATTTACCAAGATAACACACTTCCTATCTTTAAGGCAGAAGAAACCATTTATACACACTTTGCTGATAAGGTAATAACAAATTCATCATAAGGTTCTCTAAAAGGCTTTTAGGGGAATACTGCTGACTTAGTTTGAACCATACATATATACTTGAAAGTCCACAAAGAGGCACAGATCAAAATAGTCTATATAATATTTTCAGAAACTTGAAAACATTTCTCTTTTGCATTTACAAATTCAAAGGGCCTGAATCTTAGAGGTCAGTTAGAGTATATCCTGTTAAACAAACAAAACAGCCCTTCCTAGAAATGAAATAGTATAGCCCAATGATGGTGAACCTTTTAGAGCTTTCAATGATACAAACAGCCTGCTGTGGCACATGTGCCATAGGTTTGCCACCACTGGTATAGCCTAACTCTATTAGAACTAAAGGCCTATGCTGAAATAAAGGTGGGTCAAAAGTCCTAAACACTGAAAGGAAGGACTAAGGAAATCCCTAACTGGGATAAACTTTCATGGTTCTGGAAAGGGCTTGCTTGGGGTGGAATAAAATAATGGCAGAAAAGTATATACTAGAGAGGAAAGAGTATTAAGAAATTCTTCCCCCCGATATACCAGTAGAAAGGTATACCTACCTCTTGTCCAAGAGTATTTTGAACAGTAAGAATTTTTGTTGAAACTATAAGAACATAGTTCAAATTTTATCACAGGAGCCAATGTCAGAATAGGATTTTCATAATCAAATTCATTCCATAGTCAACTATTCCAAGATATCTAATAAACTGAGGGACTCTTAATGACTATGTGATCCAAGATCAAATGTTTTAGTCTTGCCCCCCAAACTCCTTACCCTTGTCCTGGTCCACTGAAGAAAATAATAATCTAAGGTAGTTCCTGAATTACTTATGGTTTAATAAAAGATCTGCCATATTTGATGATTATTTTTACATGACTGTAAACAATGATTCCCAATGGTTGTGGGATACTATAGGATGTATGGTACTAATTATTTCAAATGGTATACTTAACTTCACATCAAAATTATTCCAAATTAATTTAAATTTTCTGAATGCTGTTTAACACTGCTGATGATGGGTAAAGTCCCTAGACAATAAACAAGGTATACAACTACAAAGGTCAGGAATCCCTGATAAAATATGCGAGAGTGACTGTCCTCATATGTCCTGTCCCTTATCTCACAGTCTCACAAGATATCAATGCTCATGTCAAAGTTCCCAATTTTCTAGTACTTTCCTATTCAGTTAATATTCAGTAGGGGAAAAAAATGAACATGGACACAAATAAGACAGTATATTTTGAAAAGTACCTTAATGGTTAAATTATTCATTCTGTTCAAAGGACATATATTTTAAAGGACTATAATAATGTAAATATATCATCAGGTTTCTTAACAATACACCAGTTCAGCCCACATAATGATAGTAAAATTTCTAGTAGCAAAGTAGGATTATTATCTTATACTTAATGACTTCTATAGCAATTCTGGAAATGCAAACACATTCATAACCTGGATTTTCATGTCAAGATACAGATGTGACTCAGATAACACATTGTTAATTGATTTAAAAATTTAGGGTACAATCAACTTTTTTTCCTATATACTTCTGTTTTGTAGTCACATACTTGTATATTTTACTATGAATATATTTTAGTTTTCTTTGGATCAGAAATTGTCAGCTATAATACCTTTATATTCTGATTATTTTCAAAATTGGACTAATCTTCATACCTCATATATCATTTGTAAGGTCAAGCTTTAGAGAGCATTTTTCTCTCCTTTGTCAAACACAACATTTACTTATATGGGTGTTTAATAAATGTTCTACACTTTGTCATTTTTAACCCTCAGTGGCAAGAGTTATAGTTATATAGCAAAACCTAAGACAAATCACAAAATTATGTATAATAAATATCCACTCAATAGAGTAATTTTACCCCCTTTCACCATAAAGCAGCATTCAGCCATTGTAAGATATAGTTAGCTACCTACAGATCTTAATTCTTTTTTGCATCCCCTTTCCCTCTCATCCTTCCCCCCTCTATCTTTTGATCCCCTTTCCAATTGAGAATGATCTCCCTACTTCCTCTTGGCTTTTATTTTGCTCTTTATTTATGATTTGGGTTTCTCATATAAGGGAAACCATGCAACATTTAAGCACATGTGTATGATTTGTTTCACTTAACATTATGGTCTGAAGGTGCATACATTTTCCTACAAATGACTCAAGTCTATCCTTTCTGGCACAGTAGTACTTCATGGTGTGTAAATATATTTGCTTTATCCATTTATCTATTGACGGACATATGGGCTGCATCTAAGATTTAGCTATTATGAGCTGTGCAGCTATAAACATGTATATGGATGTAAAAGCTCAGAGTCAACTTGTATATTCACAGCAGTATTTAAAAAAAAACTGTATGGAAACAACTTATGATCATGAAGAAAAATCAGTTTACTTGTACAATAAAATTTGTCCTTCATGAAAATACTAATAAAAATGATTTAAAATTCACATTTTCAAACAGCAAATAAATAAGCAAAAATGTACTAAAATTATTTTAAATCATTATCTAAATCCACTTCTTATTAAAGGTATATAACATTTTAATAGTTATTAAAGCAGACAAGGGGGATTCAAACATGACTGAATAGAGGAGTCATATCTGAAAAACTCAGATCAACTAAAACCACAAGTAATTAGAAGAAGGAAAGGAACAAACATCAATTGGAAAGAAGAGAATTGTAGATCAAATAAAACATACATATAAGAGTTTAAAAGAGAAGAAGCAGGCCCATATGCCTGGCCTATTGGGCCCCTGCCCATGCCCATCACAACAGCCATTTTGAGAAGTTCCCAAAAAGCTGGCAGGATCCAAATAGTGGACCAGAATCTAGCAGACAGCACAGGGGTCCTTTGCCTCATCATCGCCTCTTCAAATGCAGAAGACCCTGCAGCCTGGCAGCATTTTCACCTATACACACCAGGGACAAGTGGCCATTCATTCTTAGACTAAGCAGAAAAACAAGTGATCACTGCCTGTGTTGAGTGTCTTCAATACTGGACACAGGACACACCTATGTCACTGCTGGGAGCTTGTAGTTTTTTCCACACCAACCGGGATATTCGTCCAGCACAAAGACCTAACACTGGCCTGGTTTAAATTCATACTTGGCACCCCAAGCTTGCTTGGGCCTACACGCAGTTCTCACTACCCTGTTCCAATCCTAGGCTTCCAGGGTCTCTATCTGACATCTAGCACAAGTACCCAAGTGACCTGGGTTTACAGGGGGTATCCTAAGCCCATGTGAATCTCTGCTTCATACACATGGACTGTGGCAGTGCTCATTCAGCACCAAGAGTGCTGCCTCCATGCTGGGAGTAGCAGTCTCCACCCTGCATTTGGCCAGAGTTCTTGGCACAGTACCTTCCTGTTTGGCCTGGTACTCCAGATGCCCATGAGATGCCACCCAGTGCCCTGCACCCTCATGGGCCTGGAGAAATCGCCTCACTTTAGTCTTGGGTAGATCTGTTTTTCCACTGACCATCCTGAGTTGATAGGAACCTCCATATGGTGTCAGGATCCTGGAATGGACACTGGAATGTACACTGGGTAACCAGCATTGGTTGCCAACCAGCAGGAATCCATGACAAGAGCCTCAGAATCAAGGCCCCATATGTTCCTTGGTCTGAATCCCCAGTCTGAACATCTGCCACAAAGAGGCATTTATGGAGAGAGGTCCCTTTGAATTGAATAACCTCCATATAAACTCACAGACCATAAACAGGAGCAAAGAAAGATGTGACTTGTAAGATTAAAGACTACTGCCCTGGGAAAACACTCTTCTGGAAATACATAAGAAGTTTTTCTCTTTCCTCTTTTTTGTACCTTTATTGGTATGTTTTTGAATTTTCACTATTTATTTTTTTGGTGGAGGTTGGAGTTTTACCACTCATTTTCTTGTCCCTCCCTTTAAATATTACTTTGTTATATTTGTTTAAATAGGTCCTTTTATTTCTCTGTCTCCCTGTTCTTTTCTCATTCACTCTTTCAATTTGTTCCCTTAGTATTTTTTCTTATTTCCTTTTCCTCTAGTTTGATCTTCACTCCCTATTATTTATCTTTTTCCTAGTTGATCATCTCTGTTAGTGTTATCCAATACCACCAATTTCCCTTTACTCCTTAACAGCACTTTCTACATCAAACTTATGACATTCTTCATGCCTTTCGTTGCCTTATTTTTCATAAACTACTTCTTTTCTCTTTTTCTTCATGCTACCACATTCATACCATTCACCTGTATGAATCTCTAGATAGCTAAATATATCTTAATATGGCTGAATGCTTTTTGGTGAAAGGGGGTAAAATTGCTCTATTGAGTGGATATTTATTTTATATAATTTTGTGATTTGTCTTAGGTTTTGCTATGTAACTCTTGCCACCTAGAGTTAAAAATGACAAAGTATCAGTTAATACAGTTTGTCATTTTGCAGTTTGTGTTTGATGTTATTGTTATCACTGATTGTTCTACCTTAGCCAAGGTGACACAGCTGTTTTGATCAACTGATCTCCCTTATATGCCAATACCTAGATTGTCTGGAGGCCATAAACTGTACTACAGTCCAGTACCAAAGAACTGGGTGCTAGGCCAAATAGGTTGAAGTCTTTCATCCCTTGCTTATAGCCGGCTTAAGTAAATGGAAAGGT